CGTTTTTAGGGAAGTTTTTGCCATGAAAAATTCATTACATGCACAATAATGAAAATAATTATGATTAGGATAAAACTGTTTTAATTTGGACTCAAGAAAGTCCAAATTCTCAATGGGTCAAAAAATTACTTCACAATGAAAAATTTTCTGATGCAGCATTGAGCGTTAAATGGTCATTATCCGGTAATGTTTTAGCTGTGGCAACTTCTGATAATAAGGTAACATTTTGGAAAGAAAACTTAAAAGGAGAATGGGAAATGTTGACAGAAATGACAGAATAGCATAATAATGATGACATTTGGGAAATCGTTAAGAAAATAAACAAGTTGTAATTTTCTTTTTATTTCCATTCTATATACCATCAAGTGTGACATCAATCACGGTCTCTACTTGAATAAAATTTGTTTTTTAAAAGATCTATATAGATTATAATAAAACCGCGATAAAAATACATCAAGTTCTTTCATTAGTACATCTAACATTAACTTGTTAAAGTAATAATTCTTTTAATTTCGATGATATGGTTTACCATTAAATACATGCCTTTGGCTATTATGACAACACTTCAAGAATCTGAATCAGAAGATTGATTGATTTTCTCAAATATTGCGTATCATATAATATATTTTTAATATGAATTTAAATTTTTTTTGTTTCAGCAATGATTCTGATAATATAAAAAGATTTTAACCAATTTAATCAAATGGAAAAATCGCTTCACCGATTCTAATCACAACCACCAATACATTAATTATGTTAATTATGCAATGATAATGAAGATAATGATAATGAAATGAAAGAATAGAAAAGGGCGACAAAAATATGAAAATTGATTAGGATTTTTATAATTTTGGCTTTGCTTCACTTTCCATTTCTTTTTAATACATATGTTTTTTTTAAAAAAAATAAACAGAAAATATGTAAATACAGTATATATCATTTTTAAACAAAGTTTTAAAAATTGCTTGAACCTAAAAGAAATAGATTTCTTCTTTTTTTATAAATATACATGGCCATCTGGAAATAAATAAATGACTTTTGAAAATAATTCAGTGTTGATTATAAACAACACTTACTATTCTATTTTTTTTAAAAAAAAATTTGCTATAATTGCGCACCAAAATCCAAACTGTTAGTTATTAGTAATTCAGGGTAGAAATTGATGATTTCTTCATTATCTTATTGCAAATCAAATTTCAATGATTCGATCTTTGCAATTAAAGAATAATTTATTATATATTTTAATTAATAAATAATTTTTTATATAAAAATATTGATACTTCTATAAGTAATTTATATAGTCCACGAATATTATAATATATATGTCTCTTGGTAAAAAATATTAAATATTCACTTAACTTAATTCTTATGAAATTAATTTTTTTAATAAATA